CTGGTAGGGACCTCGTTTCCCGACGAACACTACTCTCAATCATTAGCTCCGCATCATCGACCGTTTCAATCACCGTCAAAATTTGTCTTGCATACAGATTATAGTTCGTTGTGATACCACCACAACATTTCTGATATGAAATTCATGCATGTATCTGACTCTGCAAATACTCACACCCGTAAGTTATACGCATTCAGTTGAAACATGCAACTGTTACACAGCAGAAGGATGCTCTTGAAAATCTCTTCCATTGCGCAATCGATGGAATATAAAAGGCAATCAGCATTTGCGTACTGCTTAAAGGATTATTTGTTCAAGAGGAACATATTCATTCAAAACAATACTTTTCACTTCGTTTACTACATCCAACAAAAAGCTTCGGAAATTCCTTATTGGCACCAGTTTTGTTAGTCTAGCGAGATTTCTTTTGCTAATCTACTTCACTATCGCATTGTCTGGTCGTTCGCTCACTTGTTAGTGCTTAGTTCTGTTCTTTGGGATAGTAGTCTCTCGTTCAGTATAGGTATGTATACCGGTATGGATAGATTCAAATGTTCAATCGATTATCGAGAAGTGATGAAGGTTGCATCATGCGGTTGCAGGAGAAGATCGCACTAACGATCCTGAATTGCTTGGCTCACATCGTAAAATCGTGAATTGGCTCATATTAAAAGAACTCTTCGGTATAATGATCGTTATATACAGTGAACTTGTGCAAGAATATGAAAATGAAACTGCAAAATGGATTAGAGAAGTGTGTATTGCTGCAGTTGTCATCACGAAACTTCATGCGTTCATCCAAACTGTAATCGAATTTATTTCCGAGAACGAGCAAACTGAATGATTAAACGAGCAGCAATTTGTTCGTATTCATAGACGATAGTATGTTCAGCTTTGAGGAACATTCCATTCTTCGTTCAAATTTTTGCATTCATTCAGAACGCTCTCCTCGATTCATCGCAAATGGAATTACCAAAAAAATGAAATGAATCGAATTACCAAGCGACCTTCTTCAAAACATTTCTTCGTCTTATTTTTCGTATGTTCTCATCAATAATTCACGATGTTCATAATTCATTCATGAACTTATGCAAATGCTTGCACTAAAATGTTTTCGAAAAACGACAACGATCTTGTTCAGTTGCAATGTTTATCTGTTTTTTCAACCTCTTCCCTCAAAATCAGATGGTTTAACGGTTTTTCGTCATCCCAGATTCCGAAGCTGTAAGATCGATGGTGTGTAGAACTGATTAGAGCAAAGCGAAGGTTTTTTTTTAAAGGAAAAGATCAGTGGGATAACGGCTGTTGCCAGTTTCAGCTGACATCAACAGACTGAAGAGCATTATAATTCAAAATGAAATAACAAATTCAGAGACGGCGTTCAATGATCAATTGAGATAAATATTTGTGTTTGGTTGGACATTTGGGCATTCATCTGAAATCTCACATCAACAATCCGTTCGGTAAAATAAACCAATAACGTTAAGTAAATCCTCTCATCGAACGAAAAAGACAGTCGGAATTAGTGCTTTATACAACTGCAACAATATCACTCTAAATCATAGGATGATTGAGAAGTTTATGAGAAGATTGAAAGAGTCTTAAATTAGGAGACGAATGAAAAAATTCGAGCAGTTTTCTAAATGAAACAAAATTTAGTGAACAATAGATGTGATATGTACTTAATCAGTTGAAAAAAAGCTCTTATCAAAAAGATTGCGTTGAATTAATGAGCATTGTGAGTGCGATTGAAAGCAAACAATGATGATTACGCTCGTGAGTTTTTAGTTGGTCCACTTTGAGGGCATATACAAAGAAACGGATGGTCGAAGAAGTAATTGCAAAGGATTGAGGATGAATCGATTAAGACGCTTTTTTTAGATGGATAAGAATGAATGAGTACAACGAAGAACACTTCATAAAGCAAGCAGCAAATCGAACACAACTCTACAGGAATATAATAGTGGACACCAGCACAAGACAGATCATATTACAACTCAAATACTCCATCAGAATATACCGGAAGATTGTGCGGAGATAAGATAATTGTTTGTATGAATTGAAAACGATCAAGCACAAATTTTTGAATTGCAGAAATTATTGCGAAGTTTTTGCAAGGATTTCATTTGATGTGATCAATAAAGCAAACAAATCGAATTGCGTTGAAATGGATAGATCAAGAAAAAAAATATAACTGNTTTTTTTTCAGAGTGAATCAAGCCAGCTGCTTTGATCTACTAATGGTTATTATTTAATCAAAGTTATGAAAACGATGCTTGCACAAGCAAATAGAATGAAATAAAGCACGTTCCGTTGAATAATGTGAATGTCGATAGTGTACGCTTGAATCCCATTTAGATTTGCATTTCGATACTAACGCTTAATTAAATTTCCACTTTAACATGACCACAATTCGCACACCCAAATGCAGATCCATGCATGCTCATCCTCATAAACATGTCACATTCTGACTGCTGTCTACTAACGGAAGGAGTGCAGCATCAATTGCTTGATAACACTTTTACATCCGAGCTGTTGAGAATCAAAATCGGTGAGCTGAGCAGCACAATCAACTTGTTTTAGTTAGACTTGGCTAATAATTAACTGATCATATGCATAACGCATACTAAACAGCAACAAGTCTGAATAAAAAGTGAATAAATTCAAGCGAAAATCATCGAGAGCAGTCTAAAAAAATGAATTGCGCATCCATAACAACACGCTTGATGTGATCATGATATGTATGTAATTTTTTACGGCAAAAAGTCCTCTTCCCTGTCTGTTTATAATAAACATTCAGATATAAGTGTTGTTAATCATCCATCAGCAAAACCCAAAAGTCATTCATACAGTGTAAATACACGATACATTCATTCATTCTACAGATGTGTTCGTTTCATTTTATCGTTTCAATAATCTATTTTATGAATTTTTTGTAAAGAAACATTTTCCGTAGTACATCACATTATTATCTGTGAATACAGAAGATCTGTTGTGATAATGCACTGAATCATTCGATATAATTCAATATGCCTCATGCATCATTTTTATATTATTTGCGCAACTGAATCGTTTTATTTCACATCAATCGTGCATTATTGTCATCATACGCGCTCCTTTATTCCTCTAAATTTCTGCAGTGTTAACCGTGAACGCTGCTTTTAATTTATTTTAATGAATTCCATTTTCAACAAATTCTTTCCGAAATCGGCCATCTTCGAGAGAGCAACAACAAAATGATCATTCATGGTATTGAAGAATACTATTGTCTGCTTTGGATGACTGTTCATTTCGCTTTTTCAATACTTCAAAAATCTTTGTTCATTTCTCCACTCCTCGAGTACCATCGGTGTGAGTAATTCAGGATAAACTAGGACAAATAATATGATGATCAAAGCGCAGAAAAACTTGAGAAGTGATAAATTCTAATGGAGTGATTGAGTTGGTTCGGAAAAAATTTGAAACAAAAAACGAACATATTCAAAACATTCTTTAAAATTTATCGCATATAAGCGGTTGGATTTCAAACATTTCATGACATATAACTGATTTTATTGAATATTTCGGGATTAATTCTCTTGAAAAACCTTTCCCGTATGCATAAGCTGAATCGCGTAGCTCTGAAGCAAATCTTTCATCATTCTAGACGTTTATGCGCATGCGATGCACTAAAATATCAAAGATCGTTTTTAATCTGCAAGCGCTTTGAACAATGTCAGATGCCGAGCGACCCAGACGTTCAAGTCGGTGCAGAATGGAAGATAACTCAACAAAACACCTTCACGAGATGGGTCAATAAACAACTTAAATCCATTGATTTATCAATAACTGATCTGGTGAGTTCTAATCGAAAAACACATGATGATCATTTGGATGAGGTGGCTCTGCCAGGAACCGTGAGGTTTGGTTGCTTCAGCAACGGCCACTAGACCGATCAAAATTTCGGAGCGCCCTAGGTTCGAGTGCCGTGCTGACCATGTTTTGCTGTCATCATGGAATAAGCGTGCTTCTACAACGAATCACTGATATTTTCGCATTAACAAATGAATGAATACTTCTCCAACGGTAACAATTCTCGAATTGACTGCTAAGAAAAGGCGTGAAAGAGGTTGCACTCAATGAGCACGCAATACGTAAATGTGCTAATTACTGATGGTGGATTTTGGAAAAAAAGTACTGCTAGCAAAAAACTTTGAGCTGCTCGTGCTCACTGCTCACGAGTTGAGTCACAGTTGCTCGATCACCGATCCTGCTCATATTATGATCACATGATTTTCAGTCCCCTATCACCGATGTTGATGTCAAGCTGGTTTATATTCCCTTTGAATAATAATGGCAGTTATTATTGCCGTATATGAGCCAATAATGAGAGAATTCGATCTTTTAGATGAGTGATTTTGAAGATGGTCTGAAGTTGATTCGTTTAGTGGAAGTGCTGTCAGGCAGATCGTTGGGTCGATATAGTAAACGAGTGATATTTCGTTCACAGAAATTAGAAAACAACGCATTGGCTTTGAGATTTCTCGAGAAAGAAGAACACATCAAACTTGTTAATATCGGTATGTTCCGTGGTTGTTTTATTAAACAGAAGATGGAGTTTCTGTTTGTTTGACTGTTGATGGTTATATAGGACGTGGTGTAGTAAAGAATGCTGTTCAGTGGTTTAATGATTGAGATATTAGAATGTCGTTGGTAAAATGGGAGATTCGATTCTGGTTGACATTCTCATCGGTTTCGATATCAACAATCAGAATAAACTTGCATTTATATGCTCATGTGATGTAGTCTAGTCTGAAAGCTTGCTATGAGACTAAATTCGACTTGCAAAAAATTGAACATAACCAGCAGCATGAATGAGTAGCGCGTACATTCAAGACAGCGCTTCAATAGTGGATCGAAACCTGAAATTAATAATGGGACTGATATGGTCACTGATCGTGCACTACTCGATTGCGAACCAAGTATGGGAATTGCCATTGGATGATGAGCAGATTGGTGAACGATCACCGAAGGAGAAACTAATGGCATGGGTCAGAGGGAAACTTCCCAGCGATATCCGTGTGAGCAACTTTACGAGCGATTGGAATTCGGGAATTGTTCTTGGTGCATTGGTATGTTTCGTTGATGAAGTTATTTTGTAGGTAATGTCTGACGATCTAATGATTATTTTCAGTCGGCATGATGAAAATTCATCATATCCGTATTTGGAGAATAATGTGCACGAATCAGATTTGAAACGTTCAAAGAGCACGTATTTTCGATGCGGGTTGTTAGCGAATTACGAGATTTTTATACAGTCACGTGGACGGAACCGGAACATAAGATTAGAAATTATCAACGATCCCACAAATGTTTTGTTCGCTCAATCCGAGTGTTTTTTTTAGACTTAGTTTGAGTATCATTCCATGATAATCACTCGGTAGAACAAGAAAGTGGGGTGAATCAATGCTGTCAAAAAATCAAACAGAGAGATGAACGATTCTACAGGTAGACGCGTGTACTCCTGACGTGT